ACAATATATATATATAAATAGACCGATAGCCTAACTCCTTTTGTATCAATCCAATCAAAGCCGAGATCAATAGTAATTTGCGTTCCAAAAACTGAAATTTATTTGTCAAATTTTTGCAAAATCATAGTACCTAACAAATATTTCCTTCTATAAGCTTTTAGTTGCTTCCAACATCTTGTCTTTCGATTGTTTTTCTTTCTATTAAAGAAAAAACGTTACTAAAAACCATACATAGAATTTATTTTGATTATAGAGTATATCAATATCTCTTCAAAACATGTCCTTAAACTTTTGTTTGATTATGACATTTGAATTTTCATAAGAACTTTTTTTTTTGTAGACTTTCGAATGAAACAATGAAGTTCAAAATCTAAAATTATTCTCCTATCGTTTTTTTTCTTCTCTATGAAGATTTGTACAAAGTTAATAGATTAGCATTGAAAATAATTTATTTGAATGACAATATATATCGTTAAAATAATTTAATTATTTTTATTATAGAAAGAAAAAGAGATTTATTTGTTTTCAAGAAAACATCAATAAACTTATTATGAATTCAATGTTTTTGATGCAAAACTTTATTTTGATTGAAATATAAAAGAAATTCAATCAAAATTATAATCATATATATATATATATAATATAATTTTCTATTTTTGCAAGACAAATTTTTTATCAAAAACAAAAAAAAAAAAGAATTTATATTATATTAGATGAGAATATATATATTTATATTTTTATATATAATTCTGCATAGAATTATCTTATTATATCACAAACAAGCCTAGTCTAAAAAAGAAAAAAAAGAAATAGAAGAATATTAAATAAACATTTTATTTAAATTGTCATATCAACATAAAGATCTTCCTCCAAATGAACAAATTGATGATGTATTCGAAGGAGTTCTTTCTCGTTGTTCTATTGATATTGAATCAATTGTACAAATTTTATTTCGACATGATATTATTGATGTTGGTGTTTCTAAATCATCTAATTCAATAAGTTCATCAATTGTAGCTCTTTCAAGTATTGGTTCACGACTTTGTCGTTTACATCGACATCGTTCAACATTAGTACGAAAACCTCGTAAACCAAGTCGACTTAAATATGTTTCTCGTTGACGTTGTACGGTAGTTGTTATTGGTCGATAATCTTTTGGACGATCTTTTTTTATATCAATAGGTACATTTGTACCTGTACCTAATGTCGATACATCAAGTGTACCAAGAAAATGTTTTGTTAAACCATCAAGTATATCAACACAATGCATACGATCATCATCAGATATTGGTAAATCCATAGCAACAAGTAATAATTGATTTGGTTTTGGTATACGTAATGGAGGTTCTAAACCATCAACAAAATCTGATAATTGATCATAACGAATAAATTGTGAACCTGATGGATCTAAATATTGCCATTTTTCATAATACATATCATAATCATCATCTGTTAAACCCTAAAAATTATTTATATTAAATAAATTTGAAAAGAAAATTAATAATATAAGATAATAGATTGTATAGAATTATATGTAACATAATATCTTTCAATTACTATTATATATATGTAGTACTGATAAGTAGTGGCTAGAGAGCTGCAGGTCCTTCGAGACCCGGGCCCGAGCGGGTCCGGGTCCGGGTCTAAACCTAAGAGAAAAGTCAGACCCGGTCTGCATTAAGTTATGAATGGAAATATATAACAATAACAATTGAAGTCAACAAAATTGAAAAAGAAACAGTCAGAAATAATTTTACACTCATTTTCCCTTTAAAGTCGCCAATAAAGAGCTAAAATTGTGTTCCCTTTTCTGTTCATGTACACACAGGGTGTCAAATATTGGTGAAAAAAGGATCGGGTCTAGACCCGGCCGGGTCCGGGTTTAGACTCAGCCGGGTCCGGGTCTGAAAATTTAGTTTTTCTGGGGCCCGGGTCCGGGTCCGGGTCCAAAAAAACATGGACCCGCAGCTCTCTAGTAGTGGCGAAACTAGAATTTTCACGGTGGAGGGGCTTAACTGGTCGAGCTCTAAGTCGGTGGTGGGACTTAGTCCCACCTGGTCATCCCCTGGTTACGCCACTACTGATAAGACAAATACATGTATGAGAATGATTTTCTAACTAAA